TATAAAGGGGGGAAGGGAGGACGCTTTATCACCTTACTGGTGGTCTTGGGTTACAACTGCTTGCCTTCTTGCTCCTGAGGGCCGCGACGGTTCTCGCCCCGGGCAGAGGGCCGCGACGGCTGAAGTAGTGTTTTTTTTTTTAAAGAAGAAGAAAAAGTGTGTGTGTGTGTGTGTGTGCCGTCAAATTGGATCTGACTGGTACAGGAGACTGCCTCTCCTTCTCCAGCAGAGCATGAAGTAGAGTCTGGGGTTTTTTTTCCCTCCCAGGTGCCTGTCGGGGCCTGGGTTTCAGCTGTCCACACCACAGCAGTGGGCAACGAGCTTAAAGCCCCTGATGGCTCTGGGCGCTGACTCTCACCAGTGGCTATGGATGAAGTCACAGGCGATTTTCAGCCAGCGCCGGCCTTCTGAACTTTTATATCTTGCTCACTTATCCCCCTATTTTGATAATAATGGTCTTATGCAATCTTTATCCTTGTGCAACTGAATTATTTCACTCAACATAAGGCTCTCTAGACTCTCCCATGTTGTTGTATCTGGATATGATTTTGGGAAGCTTTTCTGAGGAGGTTGGTGGAAGCGGGGTGCACATGTCCACCATGGGCTGCAGTGGCCGACCCTGATGGAGGCAGCTGGTTGGTTTGAAGGGACAGGGACATCGGGAAGGCCAGTCAGAAGCTCTGCAGCACGGGGCTGGGAACCCAGAGGCTGAAGGACTTGGGGACATTGAAGCATGTCCCCAATGGTCTTGTCAACCTGTATTTTTGTGCAAGAAGAAGGTCCCCCCTTTCTCCCAAGACTTTAGGAGTGTCCCCAGTTTGAGGGCACTGTATGGCAGCACAGGCCTGCTTTCCGTGTGCCTTTTGGTGTTCTGCGCCTCCCTTGGGGCTCAAGGTTTAATTCTGCATCGCTGATGAGCCTTGGTGGTGCAATGGTTGAACACTCAGCTGCTAACAGAAGGGCTGGTGGTTCAAACCTGCTGGGCCATTAAACGAGAGAAAACCCTAGGTGAGTTCTGTCAGAATGACAGCACACAACGACGATGACTGCTTCAAGCAGCCACCAGGGGGCGCGCGCTGCCAGCGCTTGGCGCCATTGGCAGCCTGGCGCTTCCACGTGTCCTCTTGGAGGACAAAGGAGGAGGGACGTTTTAGTAGGATACTAGTTGCACAACGTCATGTGTGTCAGAGCAGAACGGGGCTCTCTATAAGGTTTCCAAGGACTGAGGTTTTTTTTTTTTTCTTCCCCCAAGTTGATTGCCAGGCCTTTCTTCAGAGGCATCTTGGGGTAAGCTTGACCCTCTAACCATTTGGTTAGCGCTTTAACTGTTTGCACTGCTCAGGAAACCCCTCCAAGTCCAGCAGGCTGTTAGTGTTTAACAGCGCTTCTGGGGTGGCATGGGGAAGTTCCTGATTTGTAGTGCTTGATGGGTTCAGTAGCAAATATTCTGGTGCACGAGGCTGTAATGTCAGCTGCCACTGACTTGACTGTTCCTCACAGAGCGTCTGTGTATTACAGCACAAAATCCTGCTCAGTCCTGTGTCCTCACAATTTCTGCTGCACTGAGTCCCGCGGTCGCAGTCTCTGTGTCAATCCGCATCAGTAAGGGTCTTCCTTGGTTTCACTGACCCCACTACTTTTCCAAGCGTGATTTCTTTCTGGCCAGTCCTGATAACATCCACAAAGTGAGCGAGACAGTGATTGCACCATCCTCGCTTCTCCACAGCACTCTGGTTGCATTTCCTTCCAGATAAATTTGTTCTTTTGGCAGCTCTTGGGCTGTTCAATATTCTTCTCCAACATCACAATTCAAAGGCATCAATTCTTTAGTTTTCCATGTTCATTGTCCAACTTCCACGTGAATATGAAGCAATTT